ATATTATAATCACTTAATGTTATTAAAAGTAAAAAAACAAAACTGAAATTTATTAGATAATTATTAATTAAAAAATGTGACCACAAATTAAAAAATTAAAATGGATAAATTTGTCAATAAAATTAAAAAATTCTAATCTACTAGCGGTTTGATACAAAAAGCTACATAAACTAATTTTTTCAATCCGTTAACGATTTGGACCATAACCGCTATCCGTTAGTTTCAAACCGCTATCCGTTAGTTTCAAACCGCTATCCGCTAGTTTCAAACCGCTAAATAAAAATTTTACCAAACACTTTAGTTGTAGCGGTTTCGAAATATATAAATTTACTAAACACTTATATTTAGCGGTTTAGGTAAAACCGCTAACCGCTACCCCAAAACCGCTATACCAAACGGGGCCTAAATGTATTAAGTTGATGTGGGATGTATTTCAAAATTTATTTGTAGAGAAATTAATTTTAGAAAGTGTGAAAGATGACTTGAAAACACTATTAGATGATTAGTGTTTTCAAGCCATTTATACAATAAGGGGAGATAAATGTGGAAATGTGCAAAAGTGTGCAGAACTTGAATTAAGGGGGAGAGAAATGTGCAAAAAATGTGCAAAGAGGAGAGAAATTTGAAAATGTGCAAAAAAATGTGCAATGTACGGGCACATCTCTTTTGGTGGTGCTATATAGCAGTCCATACAGAGTTGAATAAGATCCATCTCATCATTGCTAATTATTCAATGGCTCCAAGGAGGCCTTGTAAGATTAATTGGATTATATTCGTACCCATATCTACCCTTTATGGTCTCTCTTGTCTCCCTTTCTCAACATGGTACGGATTACTCCAATAGTCTATGGTACTGATATTGATCATGTCATCTATCCATGATATCCAATGAATTGAGTAATCATCCCATTTAAAAAAATTCTCTTAATTTCCCTGAAAATTAATCACAATTATGTCTAATTCTAGGGAGTCTCGAGTGTTGGACTTGCAAATTTCCTAGAAATAAGGACCATAGGATAGCAATTTACAGCCTAGATATTCCACTTGGCTTAAAAAAGGCCAATCTCTTATTTGTGGTAAATACTAAACATTAATCTTTTCATCCCTCCATTTTTTTTCTTAATTTTTGAGTATTTTCATACTTTTATTCTTTACTCAACTTATGACAGTCTAGTGGGAATTGATTTTATTTATGTAGAAGACGATTGTTTGTTGGTCCAAAATTGATGAAGATGCAGCAACTGATTTAACTACCTTACTGAAGCAACTCTTTAACGGCAACTAAACCCTCTAGAAATCTCCATTGTATATTTAATTAACTTTTTCATATTACTGTTCTCTACTTAATTTCTTGATGTTATAACTAGTAAGCACCATGTTATATTAAGGAAACCTCAAACATTGGTCAAGGTCTCCCTTATACTAATATTTTCTTGAGTATGAGACCCTTAATTTTGATAATTACTTTTTTCTTATGACAAAAATGGTGTGAAAATGTGTAAAAATGTACAAAGTACAGATTAAGGGGGAGAGAAATGTGCGAAAAGTGTGCAAAGTATTGATTATGACAAAAAGAAGAGAGAAATGTGGAAATATGAGAAAAATGTGCAAAACATTGATTATGACAAAAAGAGAGAGAAATGTGGAAATGTGCAAAGCATGGAGTAAGGAAGAGAGAAATGAGTTAAAAATGTGTAGAGCATTTATTATGACAAAATAAGGGAGAGAAATCTGGAAATATGAGAAAATTTTGCAAAACATTGATTTTGACGGAATGGGGAGAAAAATGTGGAAATATGTTAAAATGTGTAGACCATTGATTATGACAAAAGGAGGGAAAGAAATGTGGAAATATGCGAAAAATTTGCAAAACAATGATTATGACAAAATGGGGAGAAAAATATGAAAATATGTAAGTAAAAATACGCAGAGCATGCACTAAGAGGAAGACTGTCTAACCTTCTCCATTTAAATTATGTTTTGAAAAGTTTCATTGCATTGATTGAGAGGAGCGAAAATTTTTTTTTTTTTTTCCAAATATCTCATTTCAAATATAAGGTTTTAATCTTTTGAAAAATTTCAAACTTTTGCACATTTATATTTTGACATTATCATCATAAAAAAGAGAGAGAATATTGTCCTTTATTTTGATGATTATAAATTCAAAATGCAAATGTAAAATTAAGACTCATCATTTAATTATTTAAGAATGATTTTATTTCCATTTATCCTTAAATAGAAAGTTATGACTAAAATTATGACTTTATTACTTTCCATAACAAAAGATTTTTTAAATGGGTTAAGAACCATCTTTTGTCTTTCAAAAAAGTTTAATCTT